CCCCAGATTACCCATAATTTCTATCCGACTTGGCTACAGATTAGGGGTTCCTATGACCCTCCTGCCACTTGGATTTCATTTACTAGAACAGCTCACAGAACCCTAGGAAACATTTAGGTTTGCCGGTTTATTATTTAATAAAGATATGATAGTGGATACAGATGAACAGTCAGATGAAAAGGTAGATAAGGTAAAGTCTAGAACGATTCCTAACACAGGAACTTTTCTGTCTCCCTGGAGCTGGGGTGCCCCACCTTCCCAGCATGTGAATGTGTTTACCAACCTGGAAGCTCCTCAAACGCCCATACTTTGGGGATTTTTATAGAGGCTTCATCACATAGGTATGATCAATCATGAACTCAGTCTCAAGTCCCTTTCCACTCCAGGGGAATGGAGAATGGAGCTGAAAATTCCAGGCTTTTAATCATGGTTTGATCTGTCTTGTGCCCTTATCCTGAAGCTGTCTAGGAGCCCTCCAAGAGTTGTCTCCTTAGAACAAAAGACACTCCTATCACGCAGTAAATTTCAAGGGATTAGGAACTCTGCCAGGAACTAAGGTCAAAGACTAAATATTAGAACAAAAGATGCTTCTAGTGTTTTTATCACTTAGGAAATTATAAGGGTTTTAGGAGTTCTGTGCAAGGAACCAGGAAGAGAAACCAATATTTTTTTGTATTATTTCAAATAGTGCTTTATCAGATACGTCTTTTGCAAATATTTTCTCCCAGTCTGTGGTTTTTCCTCTCATTTTCTTGACATTATCTTTTGCAGAGCAGAATTGTTTAATTTTAATGAAGTCCACCTTATCAGTTATTCCTTTCATAGATCGTGGCTTTGGTGTTATATCTAAAAGGTAATTACCAAACTCAAGGTCATCTAGAGTTTTATAGTTTTGTGTTTTGTATTTAGGTGGTGATCCATTTTGAGTTCATTTTTGTGAAGAGTGTAAGGTTTTTTAATGTTTGTTTATTTTTGAGAGAGAAAGGGGGAGGCAGAGAGAGAAGGAGACAGAGGATCCAAAGCTGGATCCAAAGCTGGTTCCGTGCTATCAGCGCAGAGCCTGATGTAGGGCTCAAACTCATAAACTGTGAGATCATGACCTGAGCCAGAGTTGGATACTTAACTGACTGAGCCACCCAGGCACCCCTGTATTCACTTTTTTTTGCTTGTGGAAGTTTAGTTGTTCCAGCATCATTTGTTGAAAAGACTCTTTTCTCCATTGTATGGCCTTTGCTTCTTTTTCTATATTTTTGTGGGTCTATTTCTGGGCTCTCTATTCTATTCCATTGACCTTTGTATATTCTTTCACCTTTACCGGGAAGTCTTGATTATCAGAGCTGTAGAGTATGTTTTAAAGTCTGGTAGTGTCAGTTCTCCAACCTTGTTCTTTCCTTCAATTTTGCGATGCCTATTCGAGATCTTTTGCCTCTCCGTTTAAACGTTAGAAACAATTTGTTGATACTATAAAATAACTTACTAGGATTTTGATTGAGATTGCATTGAATCTATAGATGAAGTTGGGAAGAACTGTCATCTTCACAGTATTGAATCTTACTATTCATGAACATGTAATATCTCTCCATTTATTTAGATGTTTGATTTCATTCTTCAGAGTTTTATAGTTTTCTTCATATAGACTATGTACATATTTTGTTAGATTTTATCCAAGTGTTTCATTTTGGGGGTGCTAATGTAAACAGTAGTAGATTTTTAATTTCAAATTCCACTTGTTCATTGTTGGTATATAAGAAGGCTATTGACCTTTGTGTATTACCCTTGTATCCTGCAACCCTGCTGTAATCACATATTAGTTTCCAGAGTTTTGGTCTCATTCTTTCAGATTTTCTGCATAGATGATCATGTCATCTGTGCACGAAGATAGTTTTATTTCTTCCTTCCCAATCTGTTTACCTCTTATATCCTTTCCTTATCTGATGGCATTAGCAGGAACTTCTAGTACAATGTTGAAAAACAGTGGTGAGAGGGAACTTTCTTGCCTGGTTCTTAATCTTAGTGGGAAAGTGTTAAACTTTTCACCTTTAAGTATGACGTCAAGCCTTTCACCATTAGATGTAGCTATCGTTTTTTTGGTGGCTATTCTTTATCAAGTTTAGGAAGTTTCCCTCTATTCTTTGTTTACTAAGAGTTTTTCGTTATGAATGGGTGTTTGATTTTGTCAGAGGCTTTTTGTGCATCTGTTGATACGATCATGTGATTTTTTTTCTTTAGCCTTTTAATTTGATGGATTAAGTTAATTGATTTTGGAAGATTGAACCAGCCTTACATACCTGAGATAAATCCTACTTAGTTGTGATGTATTATTCTTTCTATACATTGTGGGATTAGATGTGGTAAATATTTTGTTGAAAATTTTTGCTTATATGTTCATGAGAGATTGATCTTCTGTTTCCTTACTTATAATATTTGTCTGGTTTTGGTATTAGGGTAATGCTGGCCTCACAGAATGAGTTAGGAAGTATTGCTTCATCTCCTGTCTGCTGAAAGAGATCCCCCTCCCCCTTTTAACAGCTTTATTGAGGTATCATTGACATATGATATAATGCATATATTTGAATATATAATTTGGTAAATTCTGACACATGTATTTAAAGTGGAAGTATTTCTATTTTGTTTCATTTCAAAGCTACAGTATATAAGAATATTTAGCTTGATTGAGTACAAAATATTATGTTAAAAACCCAAAATAGGGGCGCCTGAGTGGCTCAGTCGGTTAAGTGTCCGACTTCAGCTCAGGTCATGATCACGATTTGTGAGTTCAAGCCCCGCGTCAGACTCTGTGCTGACAGCTTGGAGCCTGGAGCCTGCTTCGGATTCTGTGTCTCCTTCTCTCTCTGCCCCTCCCCAACTTGTGCTCTGTTTTTCTATGTCTCTCAAAAAATAAATAAATGTTAAAAAAAATTTTTTTTAAAAACCAAAATATTGTACATTGAGATATAATAGTTTTATCTGCTGTTTTTTTATACCTTTGGCTTTTATTGGGCAAATATATTATTTTTACAATATAATAACATGTGCATTAATGATACTGGTCATGTCCTAGTGGATCGTAAATTTGTAGCAGACTTTAAAGAGCCAAAAAGAATATATCTGATTTGGAAAAATTAATTTTTTCAAATACATCCCACTGACTACTCATCCCTGGAACTTTATATACACATTGATTATTAGTTAAAACTTCCAGTGTGTCAGAATTTCCATTTGTTAAAAAACAAAACAACAACCATAAAACTTTGTTTCCATTCTGAGCTTTTTTTTTTTTTTTTTTTTTTTTTTTTTTTTTTTTTGCGTATTGTATAATTTTTGTGTTTTATTCCTGGTAAACTTATACTCTCCTTTTTGTTAAGATGGCCTCTACTGATTTACATGAAAGTAAATAGTACCCAAAGGGCCAAAGGCTGAAAAAGTTTTTTCTTGAAGAACCAGCTATTGGCAGATATTGAAAGAAACAAACAAACAAAAATTCAAATATATGCATGTATTTGGCCAAAGATGACTGAAAAATGCCTGTTAATGTTTTGAGGTTAAAACAGTCTTTTAACAAATTTTGGAAATTTGACACTTCTCCCCCAGTTGTACATAAAAGAATTAGTGATTATGTAAAAACAGTTTAATAAATAGCAAAAGATACTTAGTTGCCTTTTGGCAACTGACTTTCTTGGTTAAGAAATCAGTAGTTTTTAATAAGTTCATTTACCTGACCATGTTCTATAATACCCATTAAACAGACTTATGTGTTATGAAATTTAAATAATTCAACAGAAGATTCTTAGAGAAAAAAACTTCATTATGTGAGTAAATTACATTCTTAGCTAATGTTTTCTGATTTCAATATCCTAATATATATTGAAATCTAGTTCATATATGATACTATATTTTATGTGCTACAGTTCAAATTAAACAGTCTTTAACCCTCAAGGGGAACAGAAAAAGTTACCCATGATTAAATCTACCTATTACCTTTTTTTGAACAAAACTTCACATAAATATGTTTGCGGTTCTGAGTTCAGTGACTCCCTGAAGGGCAATTTGGTATGTAACACAGTAAATTGTAATTCCATCAGTTATGGGTCATCTACCACAATCTAGAAATTTCTTCTTTTATAAGTTAAATGTTAATCTTTAACAAAATTACATATTTCTGAGCTATATTTTCCTGTGTTGCCAAGTAATTTCTAGGTATTTAGCTTGATTTGGGGAAAGGACTATAATACTTTCAATCACAATGGGACAATTTTGTAGCATATCATAATGCCTTGGTGACTGACTGGAAGGATCTGTATGTGAAATAATTCTCTATGCCCTGAAGTTTTACAATAGCTTTAAAATGCAATGTTTTTTATTTGGCTCAAAAAAATTACCCCAATGCCATTAAAACATTTATACTGCTTTGACTTTTCAGGTTCATATAATGGGCATATTCAGGGTAGCCATTTTAATCTTCATTCCAAAGATAATGCTTATGTTGCAGGAATATAACCTCTTTCTCATTTCCTTAACCATTGACAAATGGTTATTTATTTATTTATTTATTTATTTATTTATTTATTCTGCACTTGTTTTTTTATTTTCCGAACCTGGTCAAATTGCCCTACTTAAAACAAAGTACACCAATCAGTGACCAAGAAGCCAATGCAGATGATATATTTGTGAGATTCTTTCACTGGTCCTCTGGTGCTTCTTCCTGAAGTAACATTTTAGCAGTTTGGGCTTAATAACATTAATTGCCAGTACAGATTTTCAGTACTAGTAAAAAGATATGTGGTTACGGTCTTAAAAAACTTCCTATTAAGTGATTATCGTTGACTCCTGATCATGGAAAATTGGGGAGGCATGCTGATGGATTTTGTTATTCTTTTGGAAAATTCAGTGTGCAAATTGGGTGACTGCCCAGTAGGACATATCACTATGCTAGACAGCATATGAAATATAATACACAGTTTCTGTTATAGAAATATGTGTTAACAGCGGTTTTACTTTAGCAGGCCCCAAATCCCAAAAAGCAAAGGCTACGGGCAAAGGCGCATCACTCACTAATACTGCAGATGTATTGAAAAAAATCGAGGTAAGGTTTTCTTCTTACCGTAAGAGCAAGCTGTAAAAGTATCATGCCTCCTTCACCTTCTTCACTCTTTACACCTTCTCTCACTTGTTAATCGTACCTAGATTTGGCACAACCAATCCCAGCACACAGGGTAACTAGAAGGATTTGAACATTGTTGGCTGGTAGATAAGGAGGCTCCATCCTGTCCTTCATTACCACTTACCTGTCAACTTACCTTACCTTCTGTCGCCTACTTCCCTTCCCATGTATCCTATTTTCCCCTTGAATGTCTGTGTATTCTTATTTTCCCCTGGCATTGGAATTATGTATTGGAAAGAAACACAAAAGAGTTATATACCTAAAATGTATTTTTTTTAATATTTTAAAATTATTTTTTAAGTTTATTTATTGTGAGAGAGAGACAGAGATAGAGTGCATATGCACAAAAAGGGAAGGGGCAGAGAGGGAAAGAGAGAATCTCATGCAGGCTCCATGCTTACTACAGAGATCGACCCAGGGCTCGTCTCACAACTCCAAGATCATGACCTGAGCGAATGTCAAGAGTTAGACTCTTAACCGACTGAGCCACCCAGGCACCCCCTGAAATGTATTTCTTTTAAAAACCTCTCATTGTTTTTTCCTATTATTGTATATGTACTTTTTTAATGCTTTTTTTCTGTCTCATGTTGAGTGCTTTGAGAGAAAAGTAATCTTACGGAACTTAAGTTTATATCTTCATTGTTTTTAATATTTCAAAAATAAAAAAGAGAAAGTATCCAAAAGGTTAGTAAACTGAAAATTTCTCCTCCCATTCTTGCCCCTAACCATTCAGTTCCCCCCTTGTAGACAATCAGTATTCCCTGTTTCTTACAGATCTTTCAGAAATAGTTTATGTATAACAAATACAGATTTTTTTCTTTTTCGTTTTAAAGACAAAAGTTAGCATATTACACTCTTCTGCATTTTCATTTTATTACTTGTAATCTATTGGAGATGATTCTATGTCAGTCTGTATACACTTGCCTCATCCTTTTTTTTTTCTCCTTTTTTGCCTACCCTATAAGAATGAACCACGGGGCGCCTGGGTGGTGCAGTCGGTTGAGCGTCCGACTTCAGCCGGGTCACGATCTCGCGGTCCGTGAGTTCGAGCCCCGCGTCAGGCTCTGGGCTGATGGCTCGGAGCCTGGAGCCTGTTTCCGATTCTGTGTCTCCCTCTCTCTCTGCCCCTCCCCCGTTCATGCTCTGTCTCTCTCTATCCCAAAAATGAATAAACGTTGAAAAAAAAAAAAAAAATTTAAAAAAAAAAAAGAATGAACCATAGTTTATTGAACCAATACCCGATTGATGGGCTTAATGTTTCATCTAGTGTTTTGCTATTATAAACAGTGCTGTAGTGAATTCATATTAAGTATGTCATTATACATATGTAAAGTAGATTTCTTGAAGTGCATTTCTTGGGTCAATTCTTATGTGTATTAGAAAATAGGGATGAATATTGACAGATCACTCTCAATGGGGGTTATACCAATTGAGGAAGTCAAGGCTTTAAAACTTTTACTTGTTGGGGCACCTGGATGGCTTAGTTGGTTAAGCGTCCAACTTCAGCTCAAGTCATGATCTCACAGTTCCTGAGTTTAAGCCCCACATCAGGTTCTCTGCTGTCAGCATGGAGCCTGCTTCAGATCCTCTGTCCCCCTCTCTCTCTCTGCCCCTCCCCCACTGGCTCGCACACGTTCTCTCTCTCTCTCTCTCTCTCTCCCTCTCTCTCCCTCAAAAATAAAATAAACATTAAAAAATAAAAATAAAGAAAACTTTTACTTGTTTGGTCAAGTTGGCATAGCTATGTGGTAACAGAAACTCATGTTTGTTATTTTATTTTTTAACTAGTACTTGAGCTGGAGATAACATGTATGAAAATAAAGCCAGGAGGATATTGAAGGAAAAGTGATAACTGTCAGGTTTAACTGTGGTAGAATGATGGATGAGGTTGCAGAACTTGCCAACTTATATTAACTGAACACAGATTCAGACTGTTGTCAAAGCTTCTCAAAACTGCATATGACATGTGCTATAAGGAAGATTGATCTGAATGTAGTCTCATCAGAACAAATGATGCTTCCAGGTTTTCTACATTTAAACACCTTTTTCATTTTGCACATTGTTAAAATTAGAGTTTTAAATCTAGAAATCTAAATGAGTTAGCTTTATTAACTCTGAGTTAAAGAGTAAAATTAGCTTCTGGATGACTCTATTATTGTTTCATTTCTTTAGCAAAAGTAGTTGCAAATTTATTATAATAAAACTTATTTGGGGGCGCCTGGGTGGCTCAGTCAGTTAAGCGTCTGACTCTTGGTTTTGGCTCAGGTCATGATCTCTCAGTTCGTGGGATTGAGCCCCACATGGGACTCTGTGCTGACAGCATGGAGCCTGGTTGGGATTGTCTCTCCCTCTCTCTCTGCCCCTCCCATCCTTGTGCTGTCTCTCTCAAAATAAATAAATAAACTTAAAAAAAAAAAGCTTCTGTGGATGGAGGAGTAACATACAGTCAGATCTCATGATTAATGTGTGAATAATCAGACAGCAGTAAACTAATATTTGAGCTTGTATCTGTTTGATTTACAGGAAGGCCTCTCTGTAGGGTAGCTATGTATTATTTAAACTAGAAGAACTGTTCCCTTTCTATAAGTTAACTGTTTGCAAAGTGTTTTCATGTTATGTCAATCACATTATTCTTACAACAAATCTGTAAGATAGTAGGGGTAAATAGTTAAATCTCACAGAGGAGAAAATGGAGACTAATAAGCAGACAAACCAAAAATAGCAGTTTAACACAAAAAGAATAAAGTAGTGAGAGAATGTGTGTGGCCCTGAGATCATTTTTTTAAATTGCAGTTATCTGCAATAGTTCACCGATTTAAGTATTTTATGGGTTTGATTTAGATCTACGTGGTAGAAATAAAGTTGTTATTTTTTTAAATATATTTGAGGTGGCAGTAATGGAAATAAAGACTTCCTAGTCATACACAGCACTGAATGAATTCTATATTTGAAAAATATTTTCCTTGATTAGCTTGAATAAGTGTATATCTAATTGTGAAATAATAGCTAATAGCAGGATTTTTCAGATATAGTGTATACTTTTCACAGAGTTAAATAAACATAGCAGCACAGTTTTCTTTTAACTACACAATATTCATGGGTTGTAGGCCTCTTTACCGCAATATGATTAAAATAGAAAAGAAAAAACTCCATATGTTAATGTCAACATAGCATCATTATATGTGGGTATGTGTGTATGTGTGTACGTATTTACAGACACTTCAAAAGATCTATAAACACTATTTTATATTCGCAGGGCTCGAATTCACGAACCAGGAGATCATGACCTGAGCTGAAGTCAGTCGCTTAACCGACTGAGCCACCCAGGCACCCCAGAGAGCATTCAACTTTTGATCTCAGGGTCCTGAGTTCAAGCTCCAGGTTGAGAATAAAGCCTACTTTAAAAGTAAATAAATAGGGG